TTTTCAAAGATTCCATTCCTTCTACAACGCATTTTAAAATTATGATGGATTTCATGTCTTTCAAGTACGTTCTAAATAACAAGCATGCACTTTTCAGTAAGCTATACGAATACAACACCCTCCAGAATCTATTTTAATATTATGCACTTATCTGCGGCTAAGATCATTTACACCTTTTGGTGCTACATGTCCTGCTCATCACATATTTAATTTAATTAACATACTCTAGGCCTACTAGCCTATGAATGAAGTTTCTTTCGTGATTTTCTTCCATTGCGTATCTCTTTCTCTCATCTTCTCAACACTATTAGATGTAGACTTTTACCTACAGTAAGAGACCAAGTTTCTAACCTGTATATAACGAGTATACAAAGAGTCATATCAGTCGGTAATGTGGGTGGCTAAAGGATTTTTTATAAGAGCAATGGTTTTTCTCTCTGTCGTCTTTACGAACTGAAGGGATCATCCAGCCTCCTACTAAATGTGCACTGGAGACGTGTAGGGTCGTAGAGTTAAAGCAGCTAGAGCATGAAGCTACGGTTAAAAGTATAAAGGTTTCTACATCCACTAAAAACCTTACCTGTACGCGGAGAAGTAGGTTATAGAGTTGGCAGTACGTCGCACGGTTACGTCATCGGTCCATCCAAGCTTCAACGTGTCACATCAAACTTTCCTTTGTTTCCAAGTAACACATTTCGATACGCTTCTGAACTTCATCTAAGCAACTAACATCACTACACTGCTTAATTCCTTATCACATTATTTTATAGATAATATCAAGGCACATTAAACACACTCATTTCACAGAACAAAGTTAAACAGAACCAAGCAATTCCCCGCACCACACTAGCACAGCAGGCCATCAGCGAACGGACAGCACCAATCATGCCACCTGTCCCCCACTGTCACCAACAGCAGAAATAAAAGTTTCTAAAAAATAACCACGTATACTATATTACACCAGAATCTACCCATTTTCTCACGGACAATGAAAGGTCATGTCACTGTCTGATTATTCTATGGAATGCAGATATGGCTTTATGTCAGTTAGTTAATTCGGTGTTGAACCTTCGTGGTCCCTAGGCCAGCTAGTTAGCCAGCTAGTTAGTTAGTTTGTTAGTTAGTTAGTTAGTTAGTTAGTTATTTCTTGGGTTTTTGAGCTTTGTCCTGTACAGAAAGGGACCATCAGACAGACCGGTCTCTGCTTAAAAACCCTGTCTAATGTTTACGGATCATTTATATGGGTAATTTACGATAACTTAAAATTTAACTAAATATTTTTTAGATATAATTTTCATTAAAAATATTAACCCTTCTGATGCCCGTTCATGTAATTATTGACAAGAACACTAGAATGAACCTCACTACAGGCTCGTAGTAAGAAAAATCAGCGAAATGGGTAAAAGAAACCCCTCCCCACATTAATAGAAAAATACGTTTCTGCCTGTAATATGTTATGAAATGTCAGAGACTCTTTAATAATTTGTGTGGCTCTTTATTTATAGAAATTTACATACATCCATCCACACACACATCAGTAAGCAAATATACGAAAAGATGAGTTGTAACTGATTTCTTGTTATGCTTCTTTGGTGTGGTTTCCTTATACTCAGAAACTCATTTTTTCCGTTTTCAGGAATAAAGACCCCATTTTGGGAGATCCGTTTGAATTGACTAATCTTAATCACTCGTCTCAACACGGAAACTGACCCAGACTCGGAATATTTACGTTTTTTTTAAGGAAATTCCAAATATATTTTAAGTACTTGTCACACACCTTCGTCAGAAACATTTAGAATTGGAATACAAGTTCTTTGACTGGAAAGACCTTGAGAAGAACAATTCCTGTTGGCCTCTGTAAACATCTGGAACCGTGCAAATGGAAGTAGACTCATAATTTATTCAGGTTCGCCGCTTTGCTCAATTTATCCAGACGTCCTCTCTCGTCTCTAGAACCATCCAAGATTATGTGTGACAAAGTGGAGAGACAAATTACAATCGCAACAAAGGAGGACGAGGTGGACGGAAATGAGATAGTGTCTCTTCGGGCAAGTGCTGTAACGTTATCTCATAGTAGACCGTCAACCCCCTCCCATCCCACACCCGAAGCCATTAAACAAGGCCTACCCATTGTCATTCCATCATGATGTCCATGGCTGGATAACCCTTTCGGACTTGCGGACTGTCCTCAACTCCTTCGTCCTCTGAAACTGTTCCTGCGCCAGCCAGGAATTCAGAATTATCACTGGAGTGAAAAGGTCGATTGTTTGCTTTGAGGGTCTCATGGCGTCGAGTATGAAGATGACTGTTTTCTGGGTTATTAACGCTCATGCAGACTTGCAGGCGGTCAACGAAGTTTTGAAAGAACATATCTCTCTTGATTACAGTAATCGCCTACAAAAGTACACAGCATCAAAACCCAGAATAACACAACCGAAGGGCGTAATTCCAAAACTCGCTAAGTCCATTTAACAATGTTTTTACTAAAACAGACTTTCTGCGAAGCAGTATTTAGTAAATTAGCATAAACTGCTCTTGGCTCTAAAAGGAGAAAACGGTACTAAGTCATTCGAAACTGCACTAAATTCTTTAATTTCTTGGTCAAATGAGATATAGGTCAGTCACTGAATTGAATAATACGATATGAAACGACCTGGGTTAGGATCCCAGCATGAGTATTATTTTATACGAAGTGAACGTTTAACGCGGAGGGCGTTTATGTTTGCCCACTAGAAAGCAGGGATCTGAAATGTTGGCCACAGGAAAAAGTTGGCCACGTTAAAAGTTAAAGTTACATCAGTTCTTAAGCTTACGTCATGCGTACAGTATAGGTCTGTACATTTATATGCTCCATTTATTTACGTTTATATCCATCTTAAAATTACTGGCGAAACAAACTTGTTAAATGTAAGGAATATATCTAGTGACAAACAATGAGATACTAAACTTCAACATCAGATGTATTCATTTTCCTCGGAACTGCTTCATATCCTGACCAAACCCATTCCCGCAGTGGTATTGATCCACTAACCAAACCTGCCGTTCGCACTCAGACTCTGCCACCCCCTTGCTGTTTGTATCCCGCGTTCAACATTAGTAACCTCAACTTCTAACTCTGCCCACAGCTCAGCGATTTATTTCACGCTCTGACATGTCACAGATCAACGGAAAACACGTAATACATACAAATTTTCAGTTTTAAAGTATCGAGAAAACGGTTTGGAAGACCCGGAAGTAGATAACGAAATCTATTCAACGCTGAAGGTTCCTTAGCTATAGGGATTAGCTGTATCTAGTGGGCCCAACTGTGTAGGAACCTGAAGACGGAAATAGAGTCCCATCTCCGAAACGTCGTTTTACGTTTTATATTTACTAGACGATGGATAATAGATAGGGATTAGCTCTATCTAGTGGGCCCAACTGTGTAGAAACCTGAAGACGGAGATAGAGTCCCATCTCCGAAACGTCGTTTTACGTTTTATATTTACTAGACGATGGATAATA